TGAAAGAACAAGAGGCTAATTCAGTTGCTTATAAGAGTGAGTACATCAGGAAAGGGTATGCATTGAGAAAATCCCTCAAAGGACTGAAGTACAAGAAACAGAAAAAGAAAAGTGAATGTTTTGCAAAGTTTATAAAGAGAATCAGAAGAGGGTTGAAAAATATGCAACTTAAGTTTATTGTCTGTGTAAGTTATGAATCTGATTTACAACTAAATTATACAAGGTAAAATTGGTTTTTTTTATCAACCATCAAAAGAAGTTATTGTCGGGATTGAGCCCTATTCTCTCAGCATTTCTTTCTACGATACTACCCTTGGCTTATTTGGCCTAGATGGGTATGTGCTGATGATTTAGGGTGGTGACCATTTCACCCTTTAGAGTTTTGAACAAGGTGTCTGTTTGAGTTGTGAAGGTTGAAGAAGAAGTGGTCTATAGAGTACTGTCTATTGGTACCACCATTCCCCCACCCCCCCAAGTTTTGCCATGTTTCTAAGTTTAAAAGCTACCTTCACTCTGTATGCTAAAGGAAATGAATCAGGATTATAAAATAATGTCTCTTGGCTTAAAAAGGGTACGGAAATGCACAATATGTCCTACTACCCATACTCTCTTCCAGTGTAAGCCCAGGGAGGTGATCGCACATTTTAATTCCCTTTTACTCTTATTGTAACGGCAAAGTCAGTAAAGGCTTAAGGTCTCTGAAAAATCTTTTTGCCAGCCTCAACACAAGTTTCTAACTGTTATTGTTGACTGCAACTAATATTATCTTAATAATCATTTTACATTTTTTTTCGAAGGCATCCTATGGTGTTTTCAATATCCAATAGTACAAGGCAATTTTTAAGTTGAGAGGGTTTACTTTGATTTCATTAACAGTAAGCTACATTTTTACACAGACACAAACTAACCTGGTAGGTTGATGTCCAAAGGTGTAAAACATTACATGCAACTATATGGCAAAAACTGATCACAGTGGCCAAAGGAAAGGCAAAAATAGAAATGTCATCATTTTTTAAATTTTATAAATTCCCTTTGAAGCGTATTTAGCCAGATGTAGTCCTTTTCAAAACATGCAAACTGGAACAATTATTTTCATTTATTTTCTCCCTCTTTGTTTGCAACAAAACAAAACACAATTGAATGAGGACTCAAACTGAAGGCAGTGTATAGTAGTAACTGCTGTCATGAAAAGAGAATTCCAAACACACAAAATAATTACCCTTTCATTTGCCTATATACATTTCTTAGAAACTACGGTAAAGTTTAAATTAAATCACACGAAGATAAGAACTTAAGCATATCAAGAGTGAATGATCTCTTGGCAACATTTATTTAGCTTCTATTACATAACAAAATACATGAGCTACGAGATTTGACCATTATGCCACTCAATCATCCAACGCAACTCTGCCAGGATAAGTTCACAATTAAGGATGAAGAATTAAGAATCTCAATCATCATTTCTTTTCGTCTTTAGGTGTACTAAAACCGTAAACAACTCTTCTATTTGACCACGGCCACCGCGCTTTTTCAATGTCACGAAGGATTAATTTTCGGCCTTTCACTTGAAAATATAAACTCTCCTACATACGCATGGGAGGGTTGGCCCTTTTTCTAGTCTTGTGGGTCTTCTAAACAGAAACACAGTTTGAAAGCCTGTAGTGAGATAAAAGGTCGGGCATCGAGGAACATGCACATGTACAAAGACTGTTCACTGGTCTCGTTCTTAGCGTAGTAAACCGCATGTAATGACAAACGCAAGACCAGAAGAAAGGAAAACGTAAGCCCCACATCACTGCGGAAAAAACTCGGTTACAGCAAAGAAAGCAATGACCAACAGGACCAAAAGCGAATCATAACAGGCCAGAGCCCCGATATTAGTGCGCAGGAGGAGGCCTAATCTCCACAGCAACCACCGCAGATCGGTTTCTAATAACAGACAAGCGTTACTTTCGTAATTAGTTTTAAGCATTCCTCCAGACACCTTTGGAGAGCGCCGGACACATTGCCTGTCAAGGAACTTTGTACTTCTGATTAAATGAACCAGACATCTCAAGGAAACGCGAAATTTGATCAGACTATTTGGGATTATAAATTCATTTCACGGTCGAAGTCGACCTTCGCGGCTGGCTTCGCAATGAATGATTTTCCAGTAATCGGAGACGTCTCTTTTGAGCAAAGGATTGTGGGATCGCCAGGGGGCAAACATTGCAAGTCGCTATAAAGAAATGTATGGCGTAGAGTAGTTTCTTCGTTAAAAAAAGTGATTTTGGACAAGGAATGACCTATTTTAGCGGTAATTTTGTGAGGAGCGGAGGTGACCGATGTTTGAGCGTGGAAATTGTAAGTTTTTATCGGCTTAATGTAATAAAATCTATCGATAAAGACTCTTTCTTGCGCAAGTTCGATTGTGAAATTTCCTTAATATACGTGAAGTAATGGCCTCGAAATAGTAAAAATTTAGGGATAAATTTGAGGAGATTGATTCAATAAAACCTTTTCAGTTATAATAACGCGTGCCGAGATCATTTCTGTGTTAGTTACAAGTGATATAACAATACTATGGCCGATGGAATTCTACACCCACAAAGGACAGAAGTTGTTGTACGAGGGGATGGAAAATGTTTCTACCGAGCGATTGCCCTATGGAGGGATGAAACAAGTGACAGAAAACACGGGGAAATTCGAAGCTTGTGTAACTTCCTTATTGAGAAAAATCCGCAGGTATTTCAGCCATTGTTGTTTGCATCACGTTCAGTGGAGGAACATGTTAAGAAAAGTAAACTTGCTGGGTCTTGGGCAGAAACTGTTGACATCTTTAGTTGTGCAACACTGCTCAAGAGAACTATTAGTACATTTTCAACTAAAGAAAAAAGTGGTTCACTTTTAACCCTCTCAAGATCGCTAATTTTTCGTCTCCTATGGAAACAAAGAAGGGTTGTGAATGTCCTATTACTCTGAAATATTATGATGATTATGCCCAAGCAAACCACTTCAATCTCCTTCTTCCTCAAGGAAATTGTTGTAATGCTCCCCCGCCTGAAAATAAACCATCCTCAGTGGTAATAGATTTAGATAATGTTGAACAATCGTATGCTTCAGCTGTCAAACAAAGTTCAAAAACATGTCCTCCCACCAAAGTATCCTCAACAACAACTAACACTACCAATCAGTCCCCCCACACTCAGCCCACTAAACAAACAAAAGGAAACTTATCAAGTACAGATACTGCAGCCAAAAAATCATCTTCAGCTTGTAGTAGTATTGATTCTGCTAAACAGCCATCACAAGCTACTTATTTCAAACAAAGATCTCCAACATCGACTAAAGCCAATTAGTCAGGAAGCACTGTCACGCAGGGCGCTCATTTTTCATTTTCGCTAAACATTTTGAGTAGAAGCAGGCAACATGCCTTAAAATCTTCATCTTGCCATCCTGATTAAGAATTGCGGTGTTGCCCACTCCAAATGTTATGATATCTGTCATTAAGCAGGTTTTTTGTCTAGGCCCTCGCTCCTGCAGCATGAAAACGAGGCTGAACTGTAACATTTATATAAACCCAATAAAAAGTGCACAATACGATGGGGAAATAGCTGAATCTTTGTTACTTGATGTTTAGAGCTCGATAGACAGTAGTGTGGGAGATAAAATGCGTCACGTGATCAGTTATGGAGAGTCACGTGACTTTCCAATAAAATCGATTCTAAAGCATAAAAGACGCTCTATTAACACTTTCCTTTAATATAGTTTTCAACTTACTGACGTTTCTCATTTCGATTTACAGATCCAACAATAAAAACACAAAAATGCAATAGGTGATCAGCTATGATGGGTCACGTGACTAGATAGCAACCATTGAACAGATACTGAATTAGCCTTAGCTGTGTGAATAGCGTAATTGATTAATTGTTTCAGTAAGCTCTTCAGGAATTATTTTCTATTAGGAATAAAAAAAAAACTATGTTTCATGGGGTAAATATGTGCTTCAATCTGTCCGAAACATTGGTCACTAAGTTTACGACTGGGAACGACGATGATGCATTAGTAGATGCCCTGACTAGCAATAAGCTTGTTAATGAAGTTGGACAAGCTGCACATATCATCAAAGCTTTTGATGCCGCACATCATGACAACCCTCGTTCTGTTACTGGAGGCAATACATGAAACTGGTGTCCATCTTACTGAGGTTTACGCGTGCGATCAGGGAAGGGAAGTGGGATCTGTCTTTACTGCGCACAATGTTTTGCTGTGTCCGAGCCTTTATGGTGTTTATCTGGCTCAATCAAGTAGTTGATCTCTCTTCGTTCTCCGAAATGCTACCCTATTTTGCAACTTTCGACCACTCGAATTACACCAGATAGGGCGTCATATTTCTTGCAGACATGAAGATGCTTTCGCAGACTGCCCCTGAGGTCTAGCCTCCCCTGCAGACATTCTTAGGCGTGCGTCACGGAAGGAACGCGTGACGCACGCCTAAGAATGTCTGCGGGGGAGGCTATACAAGGGTTGACCTGCTATTTGACAGCTATGTCAAGAACTCGATAAAAGGAGGAACCAGAGACAAGCGCAAGAAGAAGAAGAATACAGGGATTAGGCGCAATGTGGATAACAGAGATTAGAGAATTGGAAACTGGGAAAGGTTCATCATTCTAGAAGATAAGAAGGCTAGCCTACCTCATTTCCTCTCGACTGACATCTCGGAGAGTTACAGCGCGCCTCCTGGGCGAGAGCTGGTGATCAATGGAGGCTTCAAGGATACACTGAAGGTGTGGTCATCTGACACATCACGACAAGATATAAGAGAGCTCGCATCAGATCATGAGGAGGCAGATACTAGAATAGTACTGCATGCCCGAGACGTAGCAGCAAGAGGGTACAAGCAAGTCAGCATTTTGTGTTGTGATACGGACGTTCTTGTCCTCCTTTTGGCAAACCGAGAGCAGCTTTGTCAAGAGATATGGATGTTTGCGGGTACATCAAGACAAAGGCGTTACATACCAGTTCACAGAATCCCGCTCTCCGAGGAGAAGAGGAAGTAGCCTCTGGCATTTCATACCATTACTGGCTGTGGTACGACAAGCCCGTTCTATGGTGTGGGCAAGGCTTCGGCATGGAAAGTCTTGGAAGATGCACCTGATCTCTTGGAACACCTTGGAGAAGAAAGCCAAATCAGTGCTGACGTTCTTGCCAAAGCTGAAGCCTTTGTATGCAAACTCTACAATCCGGGAACACAAGAGGTGGAAATCAACAAAGAAAGAGCAGCAGCGTTTCGCAAATCCAAGAAAGATCTCGACGCCCTACCTCGAGCTCCGACTCAAGATGCACTGATTCTCCACACAAAGCGGGCAAACTATCAGACCATGGTATGGAATAAAGCACTGGAACCATGTCCTTCTCTCCCAAAGCCTGAAGACAGCGGATGGTACTAAAGTGAAGGCCTTCTGAAGCCAAAGTTAATGAAACGAGAAGAAGTGTCAGCGGCGTGTTTACAGTTAGCCTACTGTGGGTGCTCCCGAGAAGGCGGATGCTGTGTAAACCGACGCTGCACTTGCGTTAAACTATCTCTTTGCTGTTCCAAGGCATGTAAATGTGGCGACAGGTGCAGAAACGACAGGAACACTGCAGTAGAGGCGAATGAAGCATGACCTATAACTTTGATAAGGTGGAAGTCACATGGTGGTCTTGTGTAATACAAGATACTTTGCTTATGGTTTATAAGCTTGTATTTCTGGTTTAAACCGTGCGGCCAAGTAGAAGAAAGTTCAGTCTTTTTACATGAAAAATTCTAACTCATGGGAAATGTTACATAGGTTAGAAACGCTATAGAATGACTGAAAATGGAATGATTTCATTACATCACGTGACCCATCATAGCTGATCACCTATTGCATTTTTGTGTTTTTATTGTTGGATCTGTAAATCGAAAAGAGAAACGTGAGTAAGTTGAAAACTATATTAAAGGAAAGTGTGAATAGAGCGTCTTTTATGCTTTAAAATAGATTTTATTGGGAAGTCACGTGACTCTCCATAACTGATCACGTGGCGCATTTTATTTCCCACACTATTGTCTATCGAGCTCTAAACGTCAAGTAACAAAGATTCAGCTATTTCCCCATCGTATTGTGTACTTTTTATTGGGTTTATATAAATGTTACAGTTCAGCCTCGTTTTCATGCTGCAGGAGCGAGGGCCTAGACAAAAAACCTGCTTAATGACAGATATCATAACATTTGGAGTGGGCAACAGCACAATTCTTAATTAGGATAGCAAGGCGAAGATTTTAAGCTATGTTGCCTGCTTCTACTCAAAATGTTTAGCGAAAATCGTTTTTTGGCGAGCTGCCTCCTGACTAAATCATAAACAGCCAACCCCAGCAAATGTGACCACAGCAAAGCAAACATCTGCAACTTTTGGAGCCACACAGCCATCACAACCCCTGAAAAAATTGGTTAAACAATCATTCCCAGCACCTACAAATGGAACAACTCCTAAAACCAATTCTGCAATGGAATCATCACAAGACCCTGCTCCAAAGGCAAAAAATTCATCTCCAGCTACTAAAACTACCACAACTCAACCTAGCTCAACCTCCACTTCTTCAAAACAACCCCATGCCACTCCTAACTTTGGCAACATGGATATAAAAGCCATCAAAGAGTTCATTTCAGCAAGGGGTGTTCAAGTTTCCAATTACCGCAAGCCCCAACTTATTGATGAGCTGGCTAAAGCAATTGATAGTATGGACCTTCCCATTGATCCTGATTTTGAAAATTGTTCTATTGATGAATGCTTGATTAGACGCCTTACTTTACCTGCAGGACTTAAAATTCCAGATCCTTTTCAAATGTCATCCTTGTCTCATGACTTCTCACAGCTGCCTCCATTTGGATTGATGGACATTTTCAATCACTTGATAATGAGTAAAACTGATTACGACAAAGCTATGCTGTCCTCTTGGCGTTCATTTGAAGAATATAATTTATGTTTAAATGGCCATGTTTAAAGCCTTGGTGTAAAGACTGTGCAAGATCTTGATGGCAGTACCTATTTTGTGTTTGTGGCAGGGGTTATACCAACACAGAAAGAAAAAACACAAGAGGGTGAAAAGTATTATAGACTATGGTTTATGATTGATTCAAATGGTTCGGTGTACTCTGCATTCTGCAGATGTAAGGGTGGAGCTGATCAAGGATGCAGACACTTAGGTGCGACATTGTTTGAGCTTGATGATTTTCTTTCCAATCAAAGAAAGTCTGTCACCTCTGTGTCTGCATATTGGAACCCAAAACCCACACCCAAGAACAAACCAGTACCTCTTTTAGAAATGAAAGTATCACATGGTCATGGAAAGAGAAACAAAAGAAAAGTAACAGCACAAGATGACTCGTGGATTGACTCTTTTGATCCCAGGCCAATGAAACACAGGAATGAAATAACTTTAAATGAAAAATTGGAATTAGCACAAAAACTAAGAAAAATTGATCCCTTTTCTGGGATTCTTGATTTCTTACCAGCTCCAGAAACCTCTGATGACAATGAAGACAGTCAGCAATCTGAATATAATATTTCACATCTGTCTATCATGTCCCAAGCTAAAAAGTATATTGAGGCAAATGTTGACAATACTTCAGAGTCAAACCTTTCTGATGTTGCTGAAGAATTTCTTAAAGTGCTGACCTTTTCAAACAGTGACAGAGAAAATATCAACAAAGCCACTCAGGGTCAGCACCAAAGCAAAACATGGCATGAGATGAGGCATCTTTTAGTGACAGGAAAAACTATTAAAGCACTTTATACTCGACAAAATACTATAGAAAAAAATCCTCTAACTGATGTATCCCTCACTGTAAAAAATTTCATCACACAAAAAGAATATAAGGAAAATCAAAGATACCCTGATGCCATAGAGTATGGCATAAAAGAAGAAAGTAATGCAAAATTTTACTTCTCTAAAGTTTGTGAGAAACAGCATAGTGCCTTTAAACTTGAAGAGCCTGGTCTTCTTTTAAGTACAGAATACTCATGGCTAGGTGCTAGCTTAGATGGCATTAGAAAATGTTCATGTTGTCATCCTGCTGTGGTGGAATTTAAATGCCCTTTTAATGGAAAAGACCTGGACCCCAAAAATGCTTTTCTGTTACCTAGTGTCGGTGGGGTAAAAGATAAAGATGGGAACTTCTCCCTTGATAATAAACACTTGCACTATTTTCAAGTTCAAACTTACATGGCAGTTTCAGGTTATAACACTTGTGAATTTGTGACTTACACCAGTAAGGGTATACATGTAGTAAAAGTTAATTTTAATGCTGATTTCTGGAAAACTGTTGTGACAAAAGTTAATAAGTTTTATTGTAAACAAATAGTTCCTTCCAGTCTCCTGGAAGCATTTAAGAGCCTTAAACAGTAACAAGATAGGAATGTATACTAAGGATCAAGTCACAAAAATCAATAAAAGCAATAATCATTGGTCTGACTACATTATATGCATCTCTACTTTATGCTCCTTTTACATATATTAGTTAAGGCAGCACAAACAAAAACAATTCCGTCCAACACTGGTTTCAACAAAAGAGGAATAACCCCTGAAAGGATTCTAAATTGTTTCAACTTAAGAATGTTTCTCTCAACATGAGTGCGCAATGAGGCAACACGACGGGTGTGGGTTGTTCCCTTAGCTGTTAGTCGTGGTCCCCTACAGTAAGTTGGAGAAACAAGCTTGACTTTTTTAAATGCGAGAATATCCCGAATAAGGAAACCCTTGTCAGCCATGACTGCATCCCCCTCCTCAAGCAAGTTCACAAGTCCACTTTGTTTCACAATTTCCTTATCACTAATGGACCCTGTCCATAAAGGAGGAATAAATGATATAACACCAGTTGGTGTTATACCGACCAATAACTTTGTAGTGTTCCAGTGCTTGTAACTACTCCAAGTAATCTTTTGGCTTGAAGGAATGTTTGGTTTTTGAATAAACAGTTCCAGACAGTCAATTATTATTCTGACATTTTCAAACCTTTTGAACCTTTTTGGAAGACATTTCTTCACTTCTGATTTAGAGGGCCATGGAACTAAAAAGGACAGTTCTTGGGATAGGAATGTTATCCAAGTGTTGTAAATTTTAGAAACTTGTCCTGGTGAAATCCCAAATGAATCAGCCAGGAATTTCACATCAAAACCTTTTCTTGTACGCACTAAGGTAAGAATAAACTGTTCCCTTTTAGACAAAACACCCTCATCATTGACACATGTAGCTTTCTTTTTTGTTTTTCTTTTTTCAGTTAATGTTTTGGTACTCTTGCTACCCCTCCAGTAATGAATCTCAGTAGCCTTTGGTTCTAAAAATTCAAATACCAAATCAAGTTTAGGTCGGCTTAAACCTGTATATCGATAACAGCTTTTAGGACACGTTGCTTGGTGGATGAAATATGCTCTCTTCTCTTCCTCTTGGCTTTTGTACTCTGTTTGTGTCGCTACATCTCTTTTATCAACAACCGAACATGCAACTGGACCCTCACTAGCTGGTGACAATGGAGCTGTATCAAGGTCAATGTTTTCATGAACTATATCATCATCAAGAGCAACTTTCTTAAATTCAACACCATCGTTCAGCTGACCATTTCCACTTTGTTTTCTTTTTCTGGTCTTTTTATTTGATACTTCCGTGATTCTGATCTTAGGAGCCGGTCTTTGAAGTTTATCCTCACAGTCATAACCTTTCATATACAAAGTAGGTGTGCGACATTGGGGGTTCCTATATCCTTGTGCAAAATGATTGAAGCAGACCTTTGTACTCATCGTAACCTTAAATTTATCGCGATTTATAGCCCTGGACCATGACAAAACATCCTGCTTGTTTTTTGGCGAGTAGAATCTAAACATACCAACATGAGGAAGAATTTTCAGTTTTTCTGGGTACCTTCGATCGTTGTCACAACCCCAAACAGCACAGTGATCGCCGCCGGGCATACTTCCAAATTGACTCGTAGTTAATATCAACACACGTTATGTTAACTGAATAGGCTTTATTGAATCAATCTCCTCAAATTCATATCTAAATTTCACGTAAATTCACACAGGAAATTTCACAATCGAACTTACGCAAGAAAGAGTCTTTATCGATAGATTTTATGACATTAAGGCAATAATAACTTACAATTTCCACGCTCAAACATCGGTCACCTCCGCTCCTCACAAAATTGCCGCTAAAATAGGTCATTCCTTGTCCAAAATCACTTTTTTTAACGAAGAAACAACTCTACGCCATACATTTCTTTATAGCGACTTGCAATGTTTGCCCCCTGGCGATCCCACAATCCTTTGCTCAAAAGAGACGTCTCCGATTACTGGAAAATCATTCATTGATAACTACAGTTTTCTCGCCGCATTTGGATTCAAATAGGCTTGATACGCTTTCAGTGGCTTTTCAAGTGCTCTCTTTTAAGAAAATAGTGCTCCCATGGCTTATTTAACTTCTTTCAAGAGTAGTATGCCGTGTCAACATTAGGGAGTTTAAGATACTCCGACTACGGACTACGGCTACGGATAAACATGCTACTACGCATGATCAAAACCACGTGACTGTTCATTTTTCCCGCGTAGTCCTGCGGCTACGGTGAGTTGTTGAGCTGTTTCTCGTAGTCGGGACTACGGAGAACATTTTGCTCGTATTTTGCCGTCTCGGTAATTCAAGAATCTCGTCTTTTCGTAAAAAAGGTTCAATTTGCCTGCTTTAAGTGAGAGGGAAGCGAAATATGTAAGTTGTGTCTAATTTCTACTCAGATTTACGCTTTTAATCCACCGTTGTGACTACATTTTTATCTAGCTAAGCTCATATTTAAAGAAGCTTAGCTGTTTATACGCAGAATTCCGATTGATGGCCAAGGAGAAGAGAAATCATGCAGGTAATTTACTTTCTCTTCACACTTGAAAAGTTTCAATGTTTGTTCGAACTGATAATTAGTGTGTCTTTCTACTTGTGTGACCTTTGTTTATGCGAGTTTTTGTATCGCATTTGCTGAATGAAAATGATGTAAACATCTTCGAGACAATCGAAACTGGGCATTTCAATACTTCAAACTACATCAGATCAGTAGTCGGAGAAGTCCATTTTCTAAATCTAATAAATGAGCTATTACTATTTCTGTCTATTTCTTTAATATTTTACATAAGTATTCATGGGCGAAAAAAATAAAACCTGTGCAACCAAAACTTTGTTTACCAATTTCACCCGAGCTACGGTGATGGAACAAGGAGTAAAGTTGTAGGCGAATCAACTTGTACGCGAATCGACTTGTACGTAATTGCTTCCTTCAAGTATGGAAGAATTTGTTCATTGTTCTAAAGATAAGATCACATGCAAAACTGACTTGCATTTTTGTGAACTGTGGTGAAAACAAGAAAATTTTTGCGTGTTGTTTCCCTCTCCGCCTCTTCTCTCGTAGTCTGCCGTCTGTAGTGGAATCTTAACGTTCTATATTTGCACGACTCAACCCAGTGCTACAAACAAACGACAACGCTCGTCCAGCCGTAGTTCGTAGTCCGTAGTCTCCGTAACTTAAACTCCCTATTGGTGACCTTCGAAGCGAAAACGGCGAGTCGGCGTATCAAGTTTTTACTGTGGAGCCACATGTAGGAATACACTCTCTGCTGGCACATCTTTCTCTGGTTTGGAAGGAACTCTGCGTGGAAAAGACCCTGACCAAAGAAATTTTTAAATCTTCTCTATTTGAACGTTTGAGAAAAGCCGTCAACAATGCACCGCATTTTATAGTCGCCGGTGTAAACGAATTCGAGAGCTCGAGCTCTACCTCACATCTCCTTGAGGAACAGCAAGGCCGATTATATGATTCAATGGACGACCTTTTTACCAAATGGCGAAGGATTCAAGTCTTTTTTCTCTGGCTTAAGACGATGTAAGCGTCGATGTGCCTCCAAGCACTGTCGAAATCCCGCCAAAATCTTATTCGCTGGCAGGAGCCCAAGACGCTGGATTACTCCAGATATTCTAGCTTCCACTTCAACATCTTCGCGTTCGCTTGGGCGATCTGTATAATCAGCGTCACAGATACAGTATGGTTTCTATATCAGTCATTTTAGCCTCCTTGAAATGTCAATCATAATCCAAAAATTATTATTACAGGTTACCTTTGTATTGTTACTTGTTCTTTACTTAATAGGCCAAATTATAGGGCTACCCTCTCCCCCAGAGCTTACAGGCGGCGCGCCCAAGATTCTGAGGTGAAGGTAGACTCTCTTTTGAAATGTCGGTCATAATCCAAATACTTTTGTAGGTGATTTTTGTAGTGTCATTTGTTTCTGAAATAGGCCAAATTATGGGGCTACCCTCTTCCTCAGAGCTTACAGGCGGCGCGCCCAAGATTCTGAGGTGATGGTAGTCTCTCTTTTGAAATGTCGGTCATTTATCCAAATTATTATTGTAGGTAATTTTTGTAGTGTCATTTATTTTTGAAATAGGCCAAATTAATTATGGGGCTACCCTCTCCCTCAGAGCTTACAGGCGGCGCGCCCAAGATTCTGAGGTGATGGTAGTCTCTCTTTTGAAATGTCGGTCATTATCCAAATTATTGTTGTAGGTCATCTTTGTACTGTCATTTGTTTCGAAATAGGCCAAATTATGGGGCTACCCTCTCCCTCAGAGCTTACAGGCGATGCGCCCAAGATTCTAATGTGATGGTAGTCTCTCTTTTGAAATGTCGGTCATTATCCAAATTATTATTGTAGGTCATCTTTGTACTGTCATTTGTTTCGAAATAGGCCAAATTATGGGGCTACCCTCTCCCTCAGAGCTTACAGGCGGCGCGCCCAAGATTCTGAGGTGATGGTAGTCTGTCTTTTAAAATGTCGGTCATTTATCCAAATTATTAATGTAGGTAATTTTTGTAGTGTCATTTATTTTTTAAATAGGCCAAATTAATTATGGGGCTACCCTCTCCCTCAGAGCTTACAGGCGGCGCGCCCAAGATTCTAATGTGATGGTAGTCTCTCTTTTGAAATGTCGGTCATTATCCAAATTATTATTGTAGGTCATCTTTGTACTGTCATTTGTTTCGAAATAGGCCAAATTATGGGGCTACCCTCTCCCTCAGAGCTTACAGGCGGCGCGCCCAAGATTCTGAGGTGATGGTAGTCTGTCTTTTAAAATGTCGGTCATTTATCCAAATTATTAATGTAGGTAATTTTTGTAGTGTCATTTATTTTTTAAATAGGCCAAATTAATTATGGGGCTACCCTCTCCCTCAGAGCTTACAGGCGGCGCGCCCAAGATTCTAATGTGATGGTAGTCTCTCTTTTGAAATGTCGGTCATTATCCAAATTATTATTGTAGGTCATCTTTGTACTGTCATTTGTTTCGAAATAGGCCAAATTATGGGGCTACCCTCTCCCTCA